TTATTTCTGAAGTAGAGTTCACTGAAATCGTTCTGTGTCATGATATACCACTACTTTTTATAATTATAAGCCTGGCATTTCAAGTGAATACAGAGCTTTGAGGTCAGCAGACAGAATATAATAACCAACATGGTATTAGACAATAGGTCAAACTAAAGCAATCATAAATATATATCTAGGAGGTGAGACTCCTAATGTAGTTAGCTTCAGGAATAGTTCATTAGTGATATCTAGATTCATCCTACTTTAAATTTGACAAGTGCTTTATAGGCCATCTATTTTGTGAAATATATCACACAAACAGAAATAAGGCTGGGTAGAGCAATATTAGGTACGTGGTTCTGTATTTCTGGTCCCACCATAACCTTGACTTAACCATTGGAAAATATGCATATCCCATTCAAGGTAGGCTTCTGATAGTATTTATAGTAACTACAGGGTTTCCTTAATTTGTGACTTTTTAAAGATGGTGAAAGAAATCCACCATGTGTGATGGCGTGAAGCCTATTTGTAAACAGCTATAATTAATATAGCTTAGAGTTCTAATAAAATTTGTAATTTATTTTATTAGGAGACACAAAAACCTTTTTCTAAAATTTGATTCTGGTCTTGTTTGAAAACCTGTTCTTTTTCTTTTCTTGATTCCCTTCTGCTGTCTGCCCTGGTCTTGTTCTGCTCCCTTCTGTACTGTGATGCCACATTTTTGTACGTGGACTCTAATTCTCAGCCTCTACTAATGGACTTACTCAAAGTCTTTATCACTTTTGTGAATTGTTAGAGATGATTGTTTTCCCCTCTAAGGTTTCTAGAATTCTTCCTGTCTATTTTACATGTTATTAAAGTGGATTTCCTCTCTTTGCTCACATGGCATCCTCTTTCTCTCTGCTCTGATGAGTGTGAACATTTGATAGAGAAAATATCTTCCTGATCAGGGTCCAAGCTGCAAATGCATTCCTTTCTTTTTCTCAGAATTAAGTCACATTGAGTAAGCCACCAAAGGCTGGACTGTGGTGCATTGCAAACAAACCCCAAATCTCAGGGCTTAAAATAATAAGTGCTACATGTCCATTCGTATTGACTAGGGGCTCTGCTCATTCTAGTCAGAGATACAGGCTGCCAGAGGCTCCATTTCAGTATATGCTTTCATGATTAGGAAAGAAACATGGCAAATTGCACACTGACACTTAAAATTTCGGCTCTAAAGTATCGCATGCCACTTCTACTCATATTTCATTGGCTAAAACCATTCACCTGGCTACACCTGATATAAAGAGGGAAAGAAGTAGGATCCACCATGTGTGCAACAGTGGAGAGAATCAGACACAGCAAAAATTACAACCTTCATACCAGATGAGAGATCTAACACCTAGTGAGGGTAAGCAACATATTCAAGATCATTTAATCTTGTTAGGTAACTCAGCAACAATGACAAGACAGGATCTTGAATGAAAATTCATCATGGTGCTACTCACTACTTCTTTACTGAAATGGGCCTGATGAAGGATCAGGGCCAAATAAACACATGCTTCTTGAATGGTGAGCTGAAGGAGAGCGATAGCAACCTGAAACAATGGTTTAAGGATGCAGCGATGCACATATTCAGATGACATGCTGTAACCATGGTTTTATGGGAAACCAGTAGCAGCTAGGCTGACTTGCACACAATATCCAAAGATGAGTGGATCTTTTGGAGCAAAACTTTGAACTGTCCATTAATTCTAAAAGGGAGAAGCCAAGATACAACATGTGCTGCAAAAAGAAGGTGGAGTGAACCATCACACAATTATTCTTGCATGAGTACCAAACAGGGAGTGACTCTTGGTCATGCCTCTTCCTTCCACAGCCCCCAATAGTCCTTCCGTGGTAATCACGAACAGTGGCATTTTCCCTCAGGAAGAAGAATCACAATTTAGAGAGATTCTCTTTAACATGCTGTCAGGAGCACATATTCCTCATAACAATAAAGCAATAGAAAATATAATGGGAAATGAGTTAACCTTAATTAAAATGCTCTCCTGTTGCTAATTCTATAGTCAAAATGTAAAATTAATAGCATTTTTTTCTGTCACTTTTAATGATCTTTGGAATCTTTCCAAACTATTCCGTGTTTTTCGTACTTACTGAGGATGATGAATCAGATTAGACTTGCTAAAGTAGAAGTGTTTACACTTCCTAAGAAGCCCCATGTTTCCCTCAATATTGGATGTGACATACTTGCCCCGTAATATATTCAGGTGGAATTGAATTCAAACTTGAAATGTGTTTACTTTTACATTCATTACACAAGCTTTAAAGAAGTTTGGCATCCATGAGTGCATTTTCATTTCACTAAGATGGAAAAAAAGTATTCCTAAAAAATGTTATGTCTTCTGCTTGATTTGAAATCACACCTTTCAGAAGATCAGTTTATATTATCAGTGGACCTTTTTCAAAAATAGCCAGTTGAATTTTGCTAGGAATTAGGTCTTTCTAATTTACTTACTTACTGATTACTATTTTTACATGAGCCTGAGTGTTTAATTTTTAAGTGTTTATAGAAACTGGAGAATTTTTTAATGCTACAAAGATTATTTAGATAATTTGAGATTTAAAATTGTAATATACTCAAGTATATCATTTTATCACACTAATGTTTAAAATGCTCTGACATCTTGCTGATTTTTCTAACAAAGTTAATCTGAATAATATTTATATCCATACATTCAAGTTTACACAAGAAATAGTGGGAGGTCTGCTTTCCTTTTGTCTGAAAATTCCTGTGCTTATTTTCTTTATATGTTAATACAAAAGGTACTTTACTTCAGATGAAGCACTTTTATAATAATTATTTGTAAAATGATTCCAGTGATCTATTTCAGAGTTCATAGCATCAATTTTCTCCATTCTTTCAAGAGCAGTTTTGAACACTCTTTTAGTTATCTGTTGCTGTGCTACACACCACCCTAAAACAATCATTAAAACAAGAACCATTTTATTACTCATGATTCTGTGGCTCAGGAATTCAGTAGAACTCAGCGGGGATGGCTTGTCTCTGTTTCATCTGGTGTTAGCTGGGGTGGTTCACCTGGGGCTGAAGGATCCAATATGGCCTCACTCATATCTGGGATGTTGGTGCTAAATGTTGGCAGGGCATCTCGGTTATTTCCCAAGTGTCTTGCCTCACTTCACATGGTCTTTAGTTGTCTTGCCTGAATTTCTTCACTTGGAAGGTGAATTTTGAAGGAAAAAACCAAAAATTGTAAGATGTTTTAAGACATAGGCTCATAATTGGCCAGGGTCGCTTCCACCATATTCTACTGTCGAGCAAGTTGTGAGGATATCCTAGGTCCAAGGAGAGTGGAAATAGACTCATTGGAAGAGGAGTGGTATAGTCACATTGCAAAGGGGCACATGGAAAAGGAGGGGTTGTTGTAGCCATTTTGGAAAACAGTATACCACAAACACAGATGAATGGGTTACATTTCTAAAGTTACTACTATATGCTCCTTTGCCCAGATTTTAACCTGGCAGTTTACTGTATGAAAGTCTATCTTTGTATTTCCATTGGGAGCTATTGAATGTCTCATGGCTCAGTAAATTGAAGTGAACAGTTCATCATCCTCTCTTTCACCTCTTTGGCAGTTTTATGTGATTTGGAGTATGCTTCACAAAATGGATGAGTGTGGGGACACCATTAGCAGTATCACAGACAGTCATTCTTCAAACGTGTCTTGAGTAGTCTGTATTGTTCACTAAAATTCTGGGCATTGGATATATGAACAAATAAAGATGAATAAGAGAGAGTTTTTGTTTCATAGTATTTGACTTATTGGTTAACAACTTTTCACTCCCTTGAATTGATTCTGTGCATTCATAGCCTTGTCATGGGATTATAAGGGTCATAGGAGTGTATTTCCCTGCCCCTCTGAGTTTGGGTTTGTCCATATGGCTTGCTTTTGCTAAAAAGATGTTAGCAGATGTGGTGAAAGGAGTAGCACAAAGTGCGCTCGTGCAGTGGAGCTTGATTTATTTATTTCTTCTCCATTACCATGAGTAGAAACTTGGCCTCAGAAATAATACACATACAGACCTAAGAAAGAAGTCAAGGCCAGCTGGATCCACAGCTTGAAGCAGAACTGGCCAGTAGAGCTGGTCTAGATCAGCCAACTATCAGGTGACCCATGGATCTGTGAGAAACGTGGTTATTGTTCCATACCAATGAGATTTTATGATTCTTTTTTGTATACAAAAGCTCTTTGAAACAAGTAATGTGCTATCTTATAGGGAAGAAAGACACATAAGCAGACAGTTGTGTGGTAATGCAGTACATGCAGTGGTAGAGATCTCCACAGGAGGTCTTTGCCCACCATAGAAGGATGCCGACTATAGAAGGGCACCTACTCTGTTTTTTTCTGGTTATGTGTTGGTTTTAGTGAGGCATGAGGAAGGTGTTCTAGAAGGAGGTGACAATAAACCTGAGTCTTAAAGAATAGAAGAAGGGCTATGCAAGAGTTTTCCAGGGAGGAGAAAATATTACAAGCCAAAATTCAGTGTGAACAAAGACATTGATGTGAAGAAAACTATAAAAGCAGTTTATTGTTCCTGGAAGTTTAGTAAGTGGGAGAGTCCTGATTTACCAAGAGACTCAAACCCTTAAATTGGCTTTGCAATGGATTCTAATTCTAAGAGATTTCTAGGCTGATAATAACTAAGATTGACTTGAACTTTGTTACTCTGGCTAAACGTTTTAGAGTACATGCTCTACTAAAATTAATATGAGCACAGATTCATTGTTTCTGCTTTTACCCGTAATGAAATTACATTTCACTCAAAGATTTCAATTGCACGGCCAAAAAAGGCACAGATGGTAATTGTAGACATGACTTAAAAGAGGAAAATGGTCAATTGAAAATTAACAAGAAGTAATACTACACTGCCTGCTTTTTTATATAAAAATTACAGGTAGTCCTTTCAAATAGTAGCTTTTTTAAAAAAGTGTATAAATAAATTATATTAGATATTATAAAGTTATTCCAACGGGGAATAATTTTTAGAACTATGGGTAATATGTTTATTTCATAGGTATAATTTTCATATAATTCTTTCTTTTAAAACCAGCCTTTATGCAAAGCTGTAATTCAGCAGATGATTCCTATTTTAATCTGAATTTAAGAACGGAAGGGGCATTTCAACACCTTTTATTGCTAATTTAGACCTTAGTTAATTTTCTGGCCCTGTCCTTTACTAGCTCTGAGAACTTGGGCAACTTTCTAACCCTCTCTGAACCTCAGTGTCCTCATCAGTAAAATGGGGAAATAATTCTTACTGTACATGGAGCCCATGTGGTGGTTAAATGAGATCTTATAGCATGCTATGTGACAGTTGGCAAACATCCAACAGATGTAAGCTACTGTTCTTTTCATAATAGTAATAACATAATTAATAATTATCCTTGTTACTTAATGTTATGGTTGAAGAACAAGAAGCCTGGAAAGGTTAAAGGACTTGGACAAAGACGTGTTGCTTAGAAGATCCAGAACGTGAAAGAGATCTTGGTCACTGGCAGCCACGCCCGTGCTGTTTCCTGAACAAGGCTGCCCTCACACAGAGTTTTCAAGAAGTTTTCAAAAGTGAAGAGTGAGTTTGGAAACTACCGCACTGGTGAAACTGCCTTTAAACAGAAAGGATGCGAATTGCTACATGTAAATATAAAAAAAAAAAAAGTGGATAATTGTCCTCAAATATGTCTATCATCAAGTACAAACACATTAATTCAAATAATTGCATTGATATTAAATTTTCTTTCTGGGAATTCTCCATTTATGATAAGTAATTTCACAGCTTTTGGTCAAATTCCAACAAAAGAGGTAGAAAATTTTCACATAAAACTGTTGGACCGCTTACTCACGTTAAACAGAAAGGCTGCTATTTAGCTTAAAGAGTATAGCTGTTGGCACTTCGTTTCAGCTGAACGGCTACACACAGCCCTCTTCAATTTCATTATAAAGGTAAAATTAGAAAAGCTAAACATTAAATCTTATAAAGAAATATAATTTGATTTAATGTCATTAGAAACCGGCGCAAAATAGAGAATATGGAGCTGGCTTAACTGCTTCGGTGCTGAATAAAACATCAGCCCTTTGCCCGTTCACCTGCGTGCTCCCAGCTGTACCTGTTGATGCTCACGTTTCCTCATTAGCTCAGTCATTTCATGGTATGCCATTTTAGGGGCACATATGTTTCCTATTAGCAATAATGAATTAATGGGGGATGTGTGGTAATATGATAGCAAAATTCAGTAAAAATTCTATTTGAACTTAATTCTGTGGGATATGAATATAACCCACAAAGGAGTACTCTGATCTACAGTGAAGAATAATTTGCCTACCGCTCTGGTTTGCAATTAATGAGAAGTCCTCAGGAAATCCCAATTTCTGATTAAAGAGAGTTGATTATGATTAATGTATCCAAATTAACTGCCAGAAAGGAAGCCACCTCATAATTATCGACATTGTTCCTTCAGTTTTAAATTCCTAAGGCTACTCATATCTGTGCCCTTTTCTCTAATCCTTAAAGATGTATATTTGGTTTTTAACTTTTGATTGGCAAGACAATGATTGTCCTTTGTTTCTGAGTGTAGAAAATATTCAAGGTCTTATGACTTTTCTTTTTACCCCTCTCTATCCTTCTGTGAAAATAGTATCACTGGGGATTCCAGCAAGTTGCCATGAACCCAGTATGTCAACTTCAAATGCACTTGGTCTAACTTGATAAGCACTGCGTCACCAGAGTACTCGCTCTTGGCCATTGTGCTGTGCTGCCTTCCATGGCACTTGGTTGAACTTTTGAAGAACAGAAGATGTGTTTCCAGGCAGATATGGTATGGAGGGCTACTAATTCATTTTTCAATCTAGTTCTTTAAGTAAGTAAATAAGTCAATTCTTGCAACCAAATTTTTGTAACATTATAAGTTTTTGCATTTTTCAAGGTCCTTGCAAATATTTTTGTGGGAAATTTAGAAATGTTACATCAAGTTCTGTTAACTGGATGCCATTTTAAACTGGAAGTGCCCCAAGTACAGTATTTTTGTTAGAAAGTATCTCCTTCTATTGAAATCGCATATGTATTTTAAAAGCAATAAGAGGTTATTATAATTTGTAAACTGGAATAGTTAGGAGTTAGTCAAAAGAATTAATATTTACTTCTCCAAATACCTCAGTTAGCTTACAGAATGTTTTTTCTCCTACAGGAATTTCTTCCAATATTTCAGTTATATTTTTGTATTAATATTTTCATGAGTTATCCAGGATTACAGTAGGAAATTTGAAAACACGGATAAACAAAAAGAAAATTCAATCAAAATTTCATTATCTAGACAAAGCACTGTTAACAATTTGACATTTGTTACATACACTTTTGTATTTAAAAAAATGCATACATACATCTTTTATTCTAAAATAGCATTATATTGTAACCTTCCTTTGTAAGACTACACTTGAAAATTTAGCAGTATATACTGAATTTTTTCATAGCAATTAAAATATATCTATTTATTATAGTGGCTGTATAGTATCTTGTTGCGTAAAAGTACCATTATCTACATTGATTTCGTTGTTTTTGCAATTATAAGTAGAATTGAAAAGAACATCGATGCAGCTAAACTTTCATGTAATTAAGTAATTATTTCCTTAGGAAATGTTTCCAAAATTGAATTTCTAGGTCACAAGATGTACTTTTGAAGTATTTGTAGTGCAAAATGCTTTTGAAAAAGGATATTCCAATGGGTACTGCCAACAGTAGTATATGAGAGTCTCCATTTCTTAATAGCCTCAATAATAATGGAGACTATTTCAAGTACTGGACAATTTTATAGGCTCGACATCTCATTGTTTTAATTATTCATTTGATTACAGGTTTTAAAAAGTGTATCAATCATTTATATTTATTCTCTAAATTTCCTTTGACATTATTTTTCCATTGTAGTATTTATCATTCTCTTATTATTTTGCAAGAGATCTTCACTTTCTTTTATAAATATCATAAATAGATTTTAAAGTAAGTTGATGTTTATTTTTTGAACGTCAGTTTTGGTTGTTTCTGCCACCAGTATATAAAAATAGTTACATACTTGAAATCTGCCAACTGTTCCCAGTTATCTTCAAATGATTATTCCCAAATATACTTCCAAACTCAGTTTTATCTACTTCCTTCCAAAACTCAACCCGAACCACAGTGCAGAGTATGCAACTTGCAAATGTAAGTAGTCAGAAAGATGCTGCCCTTGAAGGGCACAGAGAAGTGTTAGCAGTGATAAGGCGTGTGGGGGGAAAGGTGTCATTTCTTTGTAATTGCATCATCTTTACAGAACATATTTCAAGAATAGGAAATCAAAATTTTAGCATTAGTCAGTTGATGAAAACTGTAAACTTAAATGTAAACTCTAAGCACTCATAACTAGGGAAACTCAAAAGTTATGTCATTTGAAATAGAAGCTCTGACCCCAGAAATCGTTACCGTGGAAATTGTATAGCATGCAAGCAGCGTGGCACATTGAGGAAGAGCAGAGAGGAAGAAAGCAGATCTGAACAAGAGCAGGATAGAAGCATAGACTTAACTATTCTTGGCAGGCTTTTCACCCCTTCCCTGAAGTGGGCCTGAGTAAAGAATTAGCAACAGGCCTACAGAATATAATATGTTAAACTGTATTTATAATAATATATCTATTTATAGTTTATAGTTCATAAACTATATATTTTTATTCCAGAACAAATATCTGGTGGTTCTTAACAAATTATTTTATCTTCTTTAATCCTGGCTTAAAGAATGTTTCTGAGTATTGTTATACTATAAATACCTAAGAGGACCCTACCTGTTATTATAACCTGGATTCTGGTGCCCAGAGTTTGCAAAATCGCTAAGAAGCACCAATTACAGAAAAGTGACTTGATGAAGTATATTCTTATCTGTATGTGCTGTATCTGGTACAAGCATGAAATTAAGTACCTCAGGGAGAAATGTAAGCAGTATTTCATGCATGTTTATTCACTTCTGTGTTTTCCATATTATGATTTGGAGATGCGTCATTAAAATATTCCTAAAATGCTGAAGACTGTCAGAAACAGCTAATGTATACCCTGAAGACATGACTTTGTCACCCAACAAGGTGCTTGCTATTCTGTCCCCAGAATTACCATTATTTCTAAAATTTTAGAAGTCAATCTAGTATTGATGATGACTTCTCTGCTAAAAAAGTGGATAGTCATAAATAAATAAGTTATTCTACTAGAATTAATGAAATGATAGTGAAAAATGGATGATTTCAAAGTCTACTTTGTAAGGTGTTCACTGAATCAGTGTTACATCTCTTACCAAAAAAATTAGAAATATCTACTTAACTTAGTCATGTATTTTCCCCATGTTTTCCCCCTGTTTGTTTGGAGAGGGAAAATGTTAATGAATAAGCATCTGTAGCCTCATCGACAAGTCGTTGTCACCAGTACTTATCAAGGAGGAAATTCAGGAGTCTTTCTGCCTTAGTTTCTTCATCTGTAAAAATGAGAACAATAATACCAAGCTTGTAAGATTGTAATAAGGATGAGATTGCTTGCAAGGTGACTGACACTTACTAAGTATCAACAATCTTAGCTATTATTGTCGTCATCATCATCATCATTACCTTTACCTGGGTTCTTCATAAAGCAGACCTGAAACAGAGTTAAGGGCAAGTGTGTGACCCCAGAGATCCAGGTAGAGTGACGAGGAAGGAAGCAGAAAGAAAGAGGCAATGCAAGGATGCCTTATCAAGTTGGCCACTACTACTGGTGATTGGCTTCTTGATCCTGCAGGACCACCTGGGAAGCAGTATAAACTATGCCTTGGGATCTCCTGTAGGCAGGGGAGGGGAGAGACAGCATATATTTACGGGCTTCCATTCTTGATTGGTTAATATGTGCTGCCATGGAATGTTATTAACACCCATGTACTTCCAGGTTGTATGAATACGGTCATCAAGCAGATTGCAATGGGATCCCATGCAGCAAAGCCCCGGTAAGGAGGGCTTTTTTTTGTTTGTTTTAATCTACATACAGGATAGACCTGAGACAAGGAGCTGTCAGGTGGCACTTATAGGAAGCAAATGCCTTTTCTGTCCTTAATCTTCCACACAAGATTGAATGGTTGTCATTTTCATGCTTTCCACGGGTCCTCTTTCTCTCTGGATCACCTAAGTTTTCTTCATCAAGCTGTTTCATCCTGATTAAAACTCCCTATCACCTGCACAAAGCTGTTCACTAGCAGCTGTTGTTAGAAATGGATTGGAAAGGAATATAAAACCAATGTCTAGTAGTATGTGTTAGGTTATCTGTCATCCATCACATCTAATCAATCACCAGGTTCTAGCAGTTTTATTTCCTAAATATCTTTTACATCTTTTGACTTAACTCCATCCTTATCCAATTGCTCTATTTCAGTCCATTGTCATCTCACTGAGATTGTTGCCCTACTGGTTGGCCATGGTACTTCTATATGGAAGCAATAACCAGGTATGATCTTTCAGGAAAGAAGAGGTATCTGGGGGACTTGTCTTAAAGCTGCATTGTCTTTTTTGGTGAGGAAGATTAGCCCTGAGCTAACATCCATGCCAGTCTTCCTCCATTTTGTATGTGGAGGATCATCATCATGGCTTATGGGTAGAGTAGGTCCACGGCCAGGATCCAAACCTGTGAGCTCTGGGCTGCCAAAGCAGAGTGCATGGTACTTTAACCACTCCGCCACGGGCTGGTCTCAAAGATGCATTTTATTAAGATTTTATTTATACTTTAAGTTAGGGATAAAAAAAAAAAGTAGAAATATTTTCCGAAGAGGTTTTTACTAAAAATTTATTAAGAAAAATGTCAATTGTCCATGTAAAAGATTATTATTAGTAGTAGTAGTATCACAGATAGTAGTAGTAGGTTTATTTGAGCTGGATAGTGGGAATGAGTGGTTGATGGAAATCAGCTAACTCCTTTGATGTCACTATGGCTGCCCAGCCTTTCAGCTGCCATTTGGGTGTCCACAACCGCTCTCATCATCCATTCTCCGCTCCTCACTTCTGGGCTTATGGAGGGTTCAGGGTGGATTGGAATAATAAGGTCATTTTTCCTGCGAGACACACACAAAGACACGTGCAAGTGAAAGTAGATATTCACCACACAGCTTTAAATTTGTGTCTTGTGTCTTATTACCAGACACAGTCACCTATGTTACTCTGAATTTTTTCTGAGTTCTATAATATATTTTGAATAGCAATATTTTATGCAGTTGATCTTTGTGTGTTAAAATGTTAGTATTTTAAATGGAAATATTTAAAAGTATGTCCCTACTTTTCTAAAAGTGATTGGCATTTTTTTGTTTTAAAAATATTCACTCATATATTGTTAGCATGGGATGTGCTTGCAGGAATGGATGCATTGAATAGGTTGTTAGAGATATTTTTCTATAAAGGTATGTTGTTGCCTGTCTTTTCACATCTCTGAAATCATGATGTGCCTCCATCTCTATTGCCTTCCATCTGCTCTTCCTATAATTGTTGGTCACCCTTCCAGTCTCTTTTAGCCATGGTGCCCCCCAAAGCAGAGCTTCATATGAGAACTTGCATATAGGCAATTTATTTTGGGAAGCAGTCTCAAGAAAAAGTCCTAAGGACTGAGAGGAGTGAAACAGGGGAAGAGAGAAAGCCCATCTAAGGATACTTCATTGATCTAGTCACCTCTGTGAGCAACTGGAGCTCAGTCCTACTGGAGACCCTTGAGACCTGTGTCAAATGAACCTCAGACCTGGTCAGCTGAAACCTGACGGAGGGGAGCATCTGTCCACTAGTTCTCCCCTTTCCTCACTGGGGAGGATTGCCCTTGTGCTGTTGGTCCCTCACACCTCAGGTTTGTGCATAGTCAGAATGGCTTTGAGAGTTCTTAAAGGAGTCCCATGAGGTGACAGCAGAGGAGCCCCAGGGATGGAAAAGAGAGATACAAGAGGCAGCTGAAGCATCAGTTGTCAGGTTACAAATGTGTGCAGCTGATTGTATAGCAATGACTGGAGTAAAAAGATGGGTTGTGAGAACGTGAAATGGGGCCCCATGGGTATCCATTACACAGGTTTTAGCCGCCATCATGACCTTCATAATGTCAAAGGAGTGAACAGATTGACCGTTGTCATTCACACTTGGAAATCAGTGACTTAACTATAACTTGTTGATGATCCCTAAAGGGAAAAATTTTGACCACACTGCCCACAGTAGGGGATTTATAAATGTGTGTAAATATATAGTTTAATATGATAGTTTGTTAGATAATCAGGGCTGTAATAATCTGGCATTGTTTAGAGCTTTACTAAGTGAAGAATGCAATACTCTAGGGAACCTCCCCTAAACAGAAAAAAATGGAAGTAGGGAGTTTTACTCTTAGTTTGTAGTAAGCCAGGAAAGACCATTGCTCTTGCTGTAGCAATGAGGCAACATTGACTAAAGTGAAAAGTTGTATTTATCCTTAAACCTATCAAAGAACTGTGGAAGCAAAAATGTCTAAATGCCATAAAGTACAGAGCAGGCCGACCCCTCTTAAGTGGGCTGAGAATGGAAACTACTTTTATCCCTGAGCATATTTATTACATCTGGGTACCCAGGCAGTCAGAGGAACACACTTGACATAGGCAGAGAAACTGCTGGAAGGAGGAAGAATCCAGCCAGGCTTTTATTAGCTGCTCATGGGCTGTCATGGTGACTTGGAATCTGGAAGAGCCCCAGACACAGGGAGCCCCAGACACGGGAAGAGTCCCTGCAAAATGGTGATATGATTAAGGTTTTTTTTCCTGCATAAAATACTTCAACTCAAACTCCAACACTTAGATTATAATGTCCTTTTATATTTGATCCCTTCTTACTTCTCCATGTCCACGTTCACTCTTCTTAACCCAATCATAATGAGTTAAATCTAGAAGAGATGTGTTCCATGCCACATGTACTGTGCACTGCCCAACTCAAGGGAGGGCCACATGGCCTATGATGTCGGAGATTCTCCCCAGAGACGCGTACATGGCAGTCCTGACTTTAGATTTTTGCTCTGTATGGTGCCAATGCCTTCTCTTCATCTGGACCTCATCACCCTTCTTTGCCTGGCCCGTTCATATTCACATTTTAGGTGACTTATAAGTCACTTCTCTCAGGAAGTTTTTAACCCTTTAAATCGGGATTAAATATTCCTCTGTGTTTTTCTACACACACTGAATGTCCCCATTATAGTCCTTAGCACATTGCTTGTATGAATTGCTGCCCGTCTGTTTTTTCTACCAGCTCCTAAGCTCTGTAAGTACAGGAAAGATATCTTTCTAATCACTGTTAGAGGTGAAGCACTTAGCACGGTATCTGACAGATCTTAGGAGATCAACAAATACTTTCTGAATGAACGTATGAAGAATTTTATGATCACATTTGGTACATGCAGTTCATAGATGAAATAATATAATAGATTACAGAGATTTACATGCTGTACAAGTTTTCCCCAGTATTCACATTTCAAATTACTATGATGAAACAACATAGGATGATAGACAATTAGAGCTAAGAGTTTAGAAATCAGTGAGGACAACATTAGGTTCTACAGACAGGTAAACAACCCCAGCTTTCCAAAGGTAACGCGTTGTTAAGGTTATACTATGACAGAAATAGTTCTAGAGTCCAAATTTTCTGTATCAGGTTGTGCAATTTCCGGTTCCCAGAAAGAAGTAGGATCCATAGCGGCTTGTTGCCTCCTTCTTCAGCTCAGAGACTGCACAGAACTGGAGGCAGGTTAACAACGTGGCAGAAAATACATGGATAGCAGTTTTACTCTTTTTATTTTCAAACTAGAGAAAACTTGCTTTAATACCACTTTGCACCTGAATTTTCTGGAGTGTCTCCAGCTGAGGGAACCAAAAAAGATGGTTTGCCAAAGTTGAGGTTTCAAAACAGTATATCAGCCACGAAACTCTTTTCTTTTTGTCATTGTCAGTTAATAGTAAACTACTAACCTTTAGTCCCATGGGATTTCCACTTCCTCTTCCAGAAAATTTTCCTCCTCCCTTCTTTCTTTCCTCCCTCCCTTCCTTCCTTCTTTCTTTCTCATTTTACTCGTAGTTACCTTCACCCATTTTAAGTAACAGTGAATTAAATCCATGGGTCATTTCCTGGTTTTAAAATAGTTACGTAATGTAGTTTTGTTAAAAGACTTTCCTCTGTGGACTCCTGTTATCTTAAGAAGCTGCTGGAGTATCTTCTGGAGAGAATGTAACCTACAGTAAAATTTCCCGTATTGTCTAAATCTGTTCTTCTCTAAAATTTTTGATTTGTATTTCTATCAATAAGAAATATTTGAGCAATCATGCACCCTGCAATATAAATATATTTATTTATAAGTTCGTAACATGTACCTTGTAAGTCTAAATATTAAACATTAATAAAGTGTGATCACTGACTTTTGGATAAATATTAGAAGTTCTAGTGTGTTCTTCACATGCCTCTATGGCCCCTCTTGCATATCTTCTGGGGTGTGTGTACCCCACTTTAGAGCCCACTGGCAGAAAAACAGCTCTGATTTATTTATAAGCTGGTGTACTTTCACCATTGACAGTTTAGTTAATTTTTTTCCCCAAGAATACTGTGTCTAGAAAGATAAGGAGACTTCCCATGTAACGTCCTGTTTTCACTTCTTTATTGCGTATTAAAGTAATTGATATCACTTATCAGATGATTCTAGCATTGAGGGGAAATTACATAGAGGATTTGAGTAAAATCTTTTCTTACCGCTCTGAGTTGCTTCGAAATAAACTCACGATTTTTCTTAAACATCCATGAACCAATTAGAAACAGCAGAACTTTTTAAATGTTCATAACAGTATTTTAGAACCTCTGCTCCCATTAATACCATTAGGGAGTTGCAGCAACAAACAGTCTTGCTTGATAGACACATTTTTGTGGCTGGGAGGGCTGGAATTATTCCAGCATAATGATTTTCAGATATGTAGCATCCATCACTCAAGAATTCTAAAAAAAAGAGAGATACAAAAGGATAATTACTACAACATGTGTTTCATATTTTAAAGACAATTTGCCAGAGACCTCAGACTTTCCTTTCTCATTCAGCACACACAATAAAAATAATGCTTCATATCGCGTAAGCATTTTATGCTTTATGAAGAACATGAAGATTCATTGTTTCATTTGATATCTGTAGCAATCCTGTGAGGTAGCTAGGAATTGTTATCTCGTTTTTTCTCTTGAAAGAATTGATAGAGAGGAGATAAGTGGCTTAAAGGTCATTCAGTAAACCTGGGTGAAACATCCTAAGTCTAGGTCTCTAGTGCTGAGCTTGCCTTTCTTTAAAAAAACTTTTGTTTGGTATTTAATGATTTATTTGCCTATTTATGTAAATAAGATTTTCGTAATGTTAATTATAATCGTGACAAAATTCTTAACATAAAACTACTCTTTGAAACGCAAGTGTAATAAATATTATTTGTAAGTGTAGGG